GTCCTGCAAAACTGCCTGTAGCTATCACCAGTCCTCCCTTGTTTTTCAAAAGGGTCCTTGTTTTGGCCTGGGTTTCCTTCCTGTGTCGTGGAAAATGTAATCCCAGAGTGCAGTGTTTTGTGTGCCCTGCAGCAGACCCACTCACTCACTACCCCCAAATGCCGTGGGTGCTGTGCGGAATCAGGGTTTGCAGACAACAGTCAGACGAAAAGATTGGGGGTTGGGGGGCATCTAAGTCCATGTGTGAGTCCCAGACGCCAGGAATGATGCGTGGGATTGGCATGAGTAATGGAACAGAGAGGAACGAACGTGATGACGGAGGCTAATGTCATGGAGAAAGCTTGACAAGGTTCACCTGGGAGCCGATGGTCTGTTTCTGCCCTGGGTGGCAGGCTACCCCTGACTACTTTGTAAAAAATGCGGAGAGCTCTGGGAACCTTCTCATGTGCTCCACTGTGGGAGTTGCTGGCAGGGTATAAGCTGGGTGGGAAACTGCCAACGGGCAGGACTCAGGGTGGCAGACTTTTAGTTATACTCCTGTTCCTCTCTCCTGATTCTCCAGCATCAGGAAGGTGATGGGTTGAACAGACCACCCAGAGGCCAGAATGGAGTTGGATGCTCTTATCCGCTGTACTAGTATAACCTGGTACAAACCGCTTAATTTCTCCATGCCTCGATTTTCTCATCTGTAAAATGGGAATAATATTCTCATTGGCTGACTGCGAGGATTAGGGGAGAGAAGACACAAACACGTGTGGAGCCCAGCAGAAGGCACACAGTAAATACCCACTTGACGGTAGTAGCTGTGCAATTTCACTGTGGATTTCATTCTTTTAAAAAGGTGTTTAGCCCTAGCCGGTTTGGCTCAGTGGATATATATTTAAATATATTTTATTGGTTTCAGGGAGGAAAGGAGAGGGAGAGAGAAATAGAAACATCGACGATGAGAGAGAATCACTGATCGCCTGCCTCCTGCACGCCCCCTACTGGGGATCAAGCCTGCAACCCGGGCATGAGGCCCTGACCAGAATTGAACCAGGGACCCTTCAGTCCGCAGGCCAACGCTCCATCCACTGAGCCAAACCAGGTAGGGCGATATATATATATATATATCTATGAAGTGTTTAGATACAGAGTTGTATTTAGAATATCAAATTCGTATTTTAAGAAAGTTTTGATATGTGAGGAAGGGAGAAGAAGCTGAGTGTTTGAAATGATTGGTTGGGAACAGTGAGTACTGCTTCAGCAGGTTCGAAATAGCATCCGTTTCATTCATCATGGTACAAAAAAGAATGCAGTGAGCACAAAGATTGATCTGGAAGCATCCCATCTGTGGTGGGCATTGGCCATTGTGGTGCTCAGCTTACCCGGCAGGCACCTGTCTCATGCAGTGTGGGCTGGGTCACAGTAGGGGTTGTGTTGGGGGACAGAGAAGGGAGGTACGGCTGTGGTCCCAGAGCCAGACACTCCCATCCATACACTTCCGGGAAAGCATTTGGCCTCTGGCATCGATTTGCAGATTGCCAACATACCAGTTGTTTTCGTGAGCGGAAACTTGGAAACAATCACCTGGGCAAGCAAGGGCGCATGATAGAGCGAGATGACGTTGCTTGGGTTTGCTTCATGGTAGAGGGCGGGGGCCCGTGCTTACTGTGTGGCAGGAACCTTCCAGACTTTCTTCCACTTGTCCTCAGAGCGGCCTGGGGAGGCAGCTAGAATCCTGGTTTTATAAAATATTAACAGGCCTGAGCCTCAGAGTCCTGCGCGTGCCCGAGGTCAGAAGCTGTGACCCCAGAAAGCCATCCTGAACTTAAGGAGCCGGTAGCATTTGGAAGCCCTTCACCTTGGCCCTGCACTGCCCCTCGTCGGCAGGCCCGGCCCTAGCCTGGCTCCCAGGTGGCAGGTGGGGACTTGTCCTGCGTCTGTGTGGAGTGAGAGGAAAGAAAATGTGTCCTTGGGGGAAGGGAGTGCCTTGCTGGCATGCGCCGGGCTGGGAGCCAGCAGGAAGCGTGTGGGCCCTCAGCCGCCCAGATCCCCTCTGGCCACCATCCTCCCTGGATGGTGTCTGGAAGCTCCTGGCTCCCCCACTCTCGCAATTCCGAATCTCCTCTTTTCACCTAGATTAGGCGAAGAGGAGCCTCTGGTGAAGATCAGGCCGGTTGGGATATTTGATCTTGTTTTTTTTCAGAAATGTTTTGAAATTCAATAAGCTGAATATACAGTTGAGTAGGGTCTGACCATCATAGGTTCAGGATGGAGGGGAGATCAAAAGGGATTTAAAAAATATATGTTTTTGCCCTGGCTGGTTTGGCTCAGTGGATAGAGCATCAGCCTGTGGAGTGAAGGGTCCCCAGGTTTGATTCCATTCAAAGGCATATGACTGGGTTTTGGGCTCGATCCCCAGTAGGGGGCATGCAGGAGGCAGCCGATCAATGATTCTCTCTCATCGTTGATGTTTCTCTCTCTCTCTCCCTCTCCTTTCCTCTCTGAAATCAATAAAGACATATATTTAAACAATATATTTAATAAATATATGTTTTTATTGATTTCAGAGAGGAAAGGAGAGGAAGAGAGAGATAGATGAGAGAGAATCATTGGTGGGCTGCCTCCTGCATGCCCCACACTGGGGATCAAGCCCTCAACCCGGGCATATGCCCTGACCTGGAATTGAACCATGACCTCCTGGTTCATAGGTCGACGCTCAACCACGGAGCTACACCTGCCAGACAAAATGGGATTTTTAGCGGCATCTGGTACAACCTCCTGGTGTTGGAAGTGAGGAACCACGGTCCTTCTCGGGGTCACACCACATCTGAGGAGAAGTGGGTGCTTCTGGATTCAGGGTGCAGATTCTCTGCCCCCACGGGCCAGGTGCGGGCCCTGCCTGTCAGGTGGTCACTTAGAGGGGTGCCATCTCAGTGTGGAAGGCGTTCTGAGCAGTGGCTCAGGGTCCCTGGCTGAGCTGGGCTGCAGGGTCAGGGGAAAGTGCATTGGTTTAGAAGCTGGAGACGCCAGCTGGGGGACTGTCCAGGCCCCTCCCTCTCCTGAGCCTCAGTGACTCCTCTGTTCCTCTCCGAGGGGTGTATGTCTCACTCACCCCCAGATTCCTCTTTCACACTGTACTGTGACCCCCTCACTCCTCAGTTCCTGCTCCCTGCAGGTGAGAACGCAAGCCGGGTACGCACTGACCCCCTAGCACGCCCTGTCAGTCTGTGCGCCTTTCCTGTAATCTCAAGTAAGGTCTGGCCATCGCAGCTTTATGGACGTGAGTTGGATCGTCTTCAACCCTCTGCAGAAGGCTCTGCATCTCCGGGGTGGCTGACTTCCCAGCAGCCGTGGCTCTCCGCCTGTCAGCACATCCTCTGAATTCCCAGTTGTTTTGCTCTCGCAACTGGGAGGTGGTGGAGTGCGAGTTTGCCGGAGAATTCATTTCGGTGCAGGTTAAGTTGGAGGCCGGTAGTCAGCTGCTGGGGATGATCGGGCAGGTGTTTGGAGAACAAGCAACCCCCGGTGGGGGTGGGGAGGTCAGGAGGCCCGAGGTGCATCAACCTACCTCCTGCCTTGTCACCCATGGTCTCACTTGCAGGAGAGTGGCGCTTGTTTAAGACGTTGAAGGGACTTTCCGAGTGGGCTGCATCAGGTGAAGCGAGTTCCTGCTGCACCCTTGGGTGCCACACGCAGTGACTGACCTTCTCTCTCGGCCCCCGTCTCTAGAACCTGGGGTTCCCTTGGACCCCTGCGTGTTCCCTTTCCATATCTCTGCCTGGGGTTTTCTTTGGTGGAGATTTCTTACATCAGTGTCAATGCTGTGAGTTCAATGGCAGGAAACTTGAGTGAGACCTACATGTGACAATGCCTCGCTTGTCCAAGTCTTTCCTTACGGGGTGAGTTTAATGGAGGGTGAGATCTTGAATGGATTGGATCCCGCAGGGCAAAAATTCGGATTTCTAGACCCTGTTGTCAATCAAGATAGTTTTCGATATTTCCCTGCTGAATGGTATGGGGCGGGGGTGTGTCTGAGTTTCTTTCTGTACGACCCCTTTCGGCTCTTATACAGGATGCGCACTTGCTAGAACCTCAGATGGTCTGAATTATGCATCAGATCTTCGTGCCTGTCAAGGTAGTGATGCATTTCCTCGGCCTGGCAGCTGAAGTCAGAAGTGCACCTCAAGCCCTCGCCGGTTTGGCTCAGTAAATAGAGCGTCAGCCTGTCGACTGAAGGGTTCAGGGTTCGATTCTGGTCAAGGACACATGCCCGGGTTGCGGGCTCGGTCCCCAGTAGGGGGCATGCAGGAGGCAGCCGATCAATGATTCTCTCTCATGATGTTTTTATCTCTCTCTCCCTCTTCCTTCCTCTTTGAAGTTTATAAAAAAAAAAAAAGAAGTGCATCCCAGGTGCGCGATTCCTTATGGAATCAAAGTTACAGTCAGTTTCTTATTGAAAGCTCTCACTTTTCACGGTAGTGCTTCCCTCAAAAATCGGTAAATAATCAAGCTCCATGGAACTGAAGTTCACTCATCCTATAAGCATTATCAGGCAGTAACAAAACTTTAAAAATGTGTTTCTCCCTCAGCCGCATTGCTGTTTATAAATGACATAGACAGGGCAGGCTTGTTCAAGTCTTCAGCCGGGACCCCGTCTCTTTATTCTGGACGTAGGGCTTGCTTGTTGCCCAAGTCCGCGAACGAGCTGGGGGGGTTTCCAGGGTGGGTGTGTTGGGAACATGTTAACTCTGTCCTTTAAAATCAGAGTCATTGGAGTAAAGTGTCCCATGGCTTTTGGGAACTGGGTCTCCTCCAGGCTACTGTCGTTACTATGTGAGGGGCGTCTAGAGACATACTGGTGTCCCGGGGGAAGTAAAGTGTCCCATGGCTTTTGGGAACTGGGTCTCCTCCAGGCTACTGTCGTTACTATGTGAGGGGCGTCTAGGGTCATACTGGTGCCCCGGGGGGCGGGGGGGGGCCGGCACTTGTCATCTTGTTTGGGTGTGTGACTGGGGAGCTCACAGAGATCATGGCTGTTGCTTTTGTTCTCACCCTGGCCCGTAGTTGTATCAACATGCCTTCCGTCCTGCTGCTGGAAGCCATCTGCATTTGCCTGTTGGCGGGAGGTAAGTTTTTGTTGGGGGGCAGAGGGTTGAGGGCTTTGGTTTGTGTCACATCCTGTCGATGTTAACGTCGAAAGCTCTGTTGAATGCCTCTGTGTGTCTCCATTTCATGGCCACCTGCCCGGCCTAAGCCCCATCCCCTCAGGCTTGGGCCACTGCAGCGGCCTCCTGACGGGCCTCCCTGGGTCTCCTCCAGCTCATTCTCCTCCGCACACCCACCATTTCAAAATGCAAATCTTGGCACATCTGGATTCCTCTCCACTTCTACTTCTTGCCTGAAACTTTTCAGTGATGTCCCATTGCTCTTAGAGGCCCGGCCTGATCAGACCCCATAGCCACCTTTTGTCCTCTCCGGTGTCCCCTCCCCACCCTTTGTGCTGCAGGCCACACCCCTTCCTGCCCAGCATCCTTGCTCCCTCCTGCTGTAGGCCTATCCCCCACACTGCTACTCTGGTAAACTCCTACTCATCTTCAGCACCTAGCACAGTTCCTCCTGGACCCCAGATCGGGGCAGATCCTCTGTTAAAACCCCTGTAGCCTTGGTTCCTATGAGATGTAGCACTTAACACAGATGAGTTTGTTTCTGTGTGAATCCTTTGAAGTCAGTATCCACCAGATACAAGCTCCATGAGAAAGAGACCCTGCATAGTCCTCATTCACTACTGTGGAGTGTCTCTGCCTGGAATGACTGCTTCTGGTGTCTTCTCTCCTAGCACCCCCTTCCCTCCCTCTTCAGGAAGTCCACGTGAGCAGGGAGACCCTGGGGAAGATTTCAGCTGCCAGCAAAAGTAAGCCCATGTCTTATTCAGCCCTCTAAGCGCCCACTGCAGACCCAGGGGAAACCACGTCACTGCAGACAGTGTCCACCCCGCTCCCGTCTTCCTTTCACGCTGTGGCCAATCATTTCCCCAAAACGGGCCCGACCAAGTCCCTCTCCTGGGTAAAACCTTTGGTAAATTCCTGTTGCCAAATTTCATTTTAAAATTTATTTTTCAATTACAGTTTACTTTCAATGCTAGTTTGTATTGGTTTCAGGTGCACAGCATAGTAGTTAGACAGTCATATACTTTACAAAGTGTTCCCCCTGGTATTTCCAGTACCCACCTGGCCCCATACATAGTTATCGCAATATTGTTGACTCTACACCTGTATTCCCTATGCTGTACTTTACGTCCCCTTGACTATTTTGTAACTACCAATCTGGACTTTCTTTTTTTAAAATACATTTTTATTTATTTCAGAGAGGAAGGGAGGCACAGTTCCTCCTGGACCCCAGATCGGGGCAGATCCTCTGTTAAAACCCCTGTAGCCTTGGTTCCTATGAGATGTAGCACTTAACACAGATGAGTTTGTTTCTGTGTGAATCCTTTGAAGTCAGTATCCACCAGATACAAGCTCCATGAGAAAGAGACCCTGCATAGTCCTCATTCACTACTGTGGAGTGTCTCTGCCTGGAATGACTGCTTCTGGTGTCTTCTCTCCTAGCACCCCCTTCCCTCCCTCTTCAGGAAGTCCACGTGAGCAGGGAGACCCTGGGGAAGATTTCAGCTGCCAGCAAAAGTAAGCCCATGTCTTATTCAGCCCTCTAAGCGCCCACTGCAGACCCAGGGGAAACCACGTCACTGCAGACAGTGTCCACCCCGCTCCCGTCTTCCTTTCACGCTGTGGCCAATCATTTCCCCAAAACGGGCCCGACCAAGTCCCTCTCCTGGGTAAAACCTTTGGTAAATTCCTGTTGCCAAATTTCATTTTAAAATTTATTTTTCAATTACAGTTTACTTTCAATCTAGTTTGTAATTGGTTTCAGGTGCACAGCATAGTAGTTAGACAGTCATATACTTTACAAAGTGTTCCCCCTG